CTTATAATTCTCCACATTTCTTCAGAATATTATTTTTTAACATTCTCTTCAATATATACAAGGATCTGGCATTTTTAACTTCATCTCCTGTTCCATAATCTTATTCCCAGGATTAAAGTGGATCTCTCCTTCAGGCTCGTATGAAACCAGGGTTTCACAAACATTTCTATTCCTTTAAGATAATAACAGCTCTCTGTTTTAACAAAATTTACCTGAATGTTGGAAGGTAACACACCTTTATGAGCTCTGTACATTAACAGTAAAATATTATAATCGACCAAATCATAGAATCTTAATAATTTCAAATCATGAAACAACATATTCGATGGATGGCTGTAATTTTTTCTAGTAATAATTCTTACAGCTCTTTTCTGTAAAATGAAAATAATGATAGTTTTTAAACATGATAATACATGTGTGAAGGTTTATGTAGAACATGTGCATTTGTTTTTTAGTTAGACATTTAAAGTTTTAAAACTTATTTTAGTGCAGGCTGATATGGGGTCAGGTCAGACCTGAAGTCCAGACTTGCAGTTAACAGGTTCCGCCTGCAGTTCGGACGCGTCCACAAGGGGGCGGAACAGAAACAACGTCCGCTTGTTGCAGCCGAGGACGCTAAAGCGAAACTCTTCAATGAGTTCACCTTCAGATAAATAGTTTTGTTTTCTTCTTCTCCGCGCGGGTTCATTTTAACAGCCTGGTGTTTGGACAGAATGAACGGCTCTTTGCACTCGTCTCCGAACTTCGTGGATATAAAACTTAAACGAGGCCCGGCAGGTAAGCGGAAAACTGGGTCGGACAATTAGCAGAGCAAGGTAGCATCAAGCTAGTTGGCTACGTAGCAAGTCAATCATGTGAAGCTGTTATATAAAGGCTACTTAACAATAAAAGTTAAACCGTGTTTAACTATCACATGTTGGGCTGAAGTAATGACTGGTTTGTAGAAGCTGTTATCGCCTGGCTGGTCAGATAAATAAGTAGTGATTTATGTTTTGCCAGGAAAAACAATGTTTACCGAATTAAAACGCTAAAGATAATTAAAGACCTAGCATTTATTAAAGGATGCACTCCGTCCGCTGCATGCAGTGCCATAGTTTTATAAGAATATTAGTTTATAATAAGAGTCTACACACATTTACAATCAGTGGAAATGATGGAGTTTGGTTAAACGTGTGATCTCGTGAAATCTCGCGAGATGTCACTCAGCTGAACTCGCAGTGTTCACCTAGTTATGAACATTTCTGTGTTGTTTAGTATAACTAGCTGTGGTAATAATCTGGAATTGGTTTAATTATCTGTAGACGTAAATCAGGTGATGATTTCCTGAATGTTTGATTAAAATTCATCCAATGGTTTATGATTTAAAGACCGGCACACCCAACTAAACATTATGGTCTGTGTTAGTGTTTTGATGACAGGTGATGATGAAACCTGTTTTATAGTTTGTTGTTTAACACTTTGTACGATGTGGTTCACCAGCATCAGGAGTGTTCCTCTTGTGTACTTTGATCCTGTAAAATAAATGTTAGTGTTGGATCAGCATCTGCCCCGGTAAACAACTGGACGTAGTGAATTTCTGTCAGAAATGTCCACCTGCACTGGTACCTGACTGCCTGTTTTACTTTTGTTTTCTAGGATTGGGATTTAATATAGTTGGTGGTAAAGACCAGCACTATATTAGGAATGATGGAGGCATCTTTGTGTCTAAAATAAAAGAAGATGGAGCAGCAGCTCTGGATGGAAGACTTGAGGAAGGAGACAAGATCCTTTCGGTAACAAAAGTTTATGAAATATTAGGAAGAAATATTTGTCCCAGTTTATTTATGCATGCAATATATATGTATATACGTGAGTAGGAATGTACAGTATTTATCAGTGGTGGGTTTGTGTATTACTGCATTGACCATGGTTAGCTGGTTGCTACACTCATCAGGAGCTTAAATATGCATTTAGAGCATCAACAAAATCAATGGATAGTGAGGCGTTTTCTTTAAGAAAACCTCTGTAATAAAATGACAAAACTATAATATATGTGTTTATGCTATTTAGTAATTTTATGTCAATAACTTAAAAAGGCAAATAACTTTCCAGAAGTTTTTCTGTAAACTACAATAATTTTAACATCAGTNTATTGCAGTTGTACTATCAGCAAAAATGTGCGCATCAGAACCGCAGCATGCAGGACTTCCTTGTTTTCTTCTGGGTCTGTGGCTCAGTCCCGCCCCCATCCTTTTTTGTCCAATAGGAGCAATGATCATCAGCCTCATGGCTTTGTTTACAAGTTATAGTTCGTTTGCAAAAAAAGCACAAATTGAATGCAAACCGCACCAAAGGAAAAAAATTAAGTCCACTTTTGGTCCGGACCAAACAACTGGACCAAAGGACTTTCCTGGTCTGAATACACCCTTAAATTGTTATTTTTTTGTCTGAAGCCAGTTGTTAAGAGCTAGAACAGCATCTGGTTTGATTGAACGTGAGCTGACGTTCACGTGACGTATTTTTTCCATCACCACCGTTAACAGGAAAAAAAAAGTTTTTCCTCTGCAGACTCATCACCCAACAACACTGATCATTGAGCAAAAGAAACACAATATCCAGCCGTTATCATTGTTTATATACTTATATGAGCTTTGGGAGGGCAGAGGGAGGGCCCGCTGCATCTTCAGCCACCGACCCGCTGGACATAAAATGACCAAGAAGCAGAAGAACTATCAATTTATTTAWCACCATGAGCCAAAGTCTGTTTCAACAAGTCACTTGTAATTTAACTAGCACTTCAGAATTTGCGCAACTAACTTTTGAATCGGCACCGCCCACCACTGCTTGTTTAAGATCCCAGTGTCTGATGTAAAAGGTGCTGTGGACCAGGAAGTTTAGGTTTATGTACATGTGGTGTTCTGCTCTGTTAGATACAGGGGACTGAGCCTGCAGCCCAGCAGCTGCTGTGCTCAGAGGCTTGTTTTGGTTTACTGATAAACCCAAGGCCTCAAACACACAGGCCCTGGCTGGCAGGCTGAAGAGACASTTCACATCTGATGAAAAAAGGTTTTTACAAGAGAATCAACTTGGTTTTCTGCAAACTTATTCTGACTTCCAGTTTTCAACACGTTTAGTGCTTAGCCACTTAGCTTCTACAGTCGATCACATTCTCGAAGTCGGCGTGATGTGGTTCAGTCACGTGATTTCAACCTCCATTTTTTTATGCTGGAAAACTCATTGTGAGACTCCGTTACAAACTGTCAAAAGGAGAGACTTCAAACTATACAGCAGTTTTTAAATTGTGTCGTTAGGTCAGGAGAAGAAAACCAGAGTTATGATAAATGCCATATCTTACAATTTTTTTTCTGAAAATGAACGCACTATTTTGAAGCGTGTTGCAGCTGAAGGGAGCAGGAAACACGGTAATCTCGTGGAAAAAAACACCGCTGTCCATCGTCAGTCTCATCTTTCTCTTAAACCGAAAAAATATAACCCCCCAGACCTCCTTTTTGACCGAGGCTCAAAGTTATCTGACAAACAGTAAAAAATCTACAGGAAGAAGAAAATAAAAAGAGGCGAAATTTGAATGGAGATTGGTGGTAATGACGAGCTGGTGAGAGCAGGACTTTATTAATTAGATCTGTSACTTTTAACATGTTTGGATTTTATAGTTGGTGTGTAGTTTTGAGTGTTTAACCTTCATTTTAGACAGTTTTAGTGTGTTTTAAATCAAAACAATGAGGCAGTTTTTTTTAAACAAGGAGAAGCACGGAGGTCTGCAGAGGCAGAACGACAACACGTCTTATTTCTCTCCCCTCTTTCTTACAGTTAGAAAAAATAATATTTTATCTCTGGATGTTTTTTTATGAGAAGTGCAGTCCTACAGCAACTTTTCACCATTTTTCTTATTTTCCACATAGAGGAACTCATCCTGTTTTTACTCCAAACCAATATGTCAGCCTSTGTTTACAACATGATCACGTGACAAAGTACCCGGCTGTTTGACTTTGAGAATGGTTTCCACTCACTCCATACCTCCGGCCTGAATGAGTCAAAGTAAGACTCTGGGCATGTTTTTGATGAGAGTATAACATTATAACATGAAATAAAACTCAGATGATTTTACATGATATTGTCCCTTTTAATTAGTATTAATTGATGTAGAGTTTTAGATAGTTATGCTCTTCATCTGTCATCATTTATGATGTTCCATAAAACCTGCAGCTGCTCCTAAATGAGAGCAGTGGACACTGACGTATTTGTGTACTTGTTGTACTCGTCCTAAAACATCACATGAATACACGTACCATTACTCCTCTACTGGGTTCATCTGTGACCCCAGCAGGGAAACTGAGTCTCACTGAGGAATTTTTCAGTTTTGAATTAATATTTTCAAATTCTCCATCTCAAATTAAAGCTTTGAAATTATCTGTAGGTTGTTTAAAATTAGGTGATTTATTTCCTGGCAACAAACTAGTTTTGTTTATTAGAGTAAACTCCATTTCTATTTGTCTAGAATGATGTCATTGAAGATTTCATACATATTTAAATAGTTTTATTCCATCATCAGCGTAAATGTCAACACAAGTTCTGTAAAACATTAGTGTGAAAGGACCGTTAGAGATGAAAGCCTTGCTTTATTTCTTCATGTTTCATTAATGAACCCCTGGAATCTGATTATTTACCCCTTTATTTTACCAGAAGAAAATTATTCTTACTGCACAGTGCAATGCATGATGTGAGCCAYTATTTGCATCTGATTTTGCTCCTTCTCTCCAGCCTTTTCTTTCTGATGCCACACTTTACGGGTTGGTAGGGTTTTACTGGCCCCGGACCTKAAAGGTTTACAATGCTCTTCAACGCAGCCTCTATTCTTCACTAAAAGCAAATAAAAATGAACCCAGGAAACAAAAACTGTCCAGTTACAAATGAGATTCAGCCCRTTCCAGTGCAAATCACAGAGAAGCTTATTCACACTCGGAGTTCAGCAAAATATGGTAGGTAATTTGTGGGGAATTTTTTACTTTACAAATTACTGACATCTCCGATTCGCACGGGATTAACAACTCAGACAGTCTCTGCAATTATTACAAATAATGTATGGTCCCTGGGTAAAACTAATCCCTTCAGAATAGGGCTTAAGTCACTAAAAGGTGAAGGTGGATTATAATGTTTTTTCTTGTCTTTAAGGTATTGTGGTAGCAGATCAACACTGGGCTGATTTTAATGAAACTTTCAGGACTTACTCTTTGCTTGTGATTTTTAACTGATGATCTTTTTTAAAACTGACAAAATTCAAGATGGCTGCTACAGCCAGCCGAGTTTAGGAAAGACAAAGACTGTAACTCAGTCATGATGCTAAGGTTGCTTGTAGCTTGGATTCCTTGACTAAACCGACTCTGATCCATCTCAAGACATCACATCACACACAGTCCTAACTAGGGATGCAAACAATTAATCGATTTACAATTAATTGTTAGTCGATTGATAAGATCAATCAACTTTAGATGAATCCATTAATGGATAACTTGCATCCCTAGTCCCAACATGAGAGGATCTTAACTCTGTTAGGACAGTGGAGGGTGATGTGTATTTCCACACAGTTTCTTGTGTCAATCGTTTGTGTTGCTGTCCTCGCAGCTGAAGATCCTGGTGGAGGAGGACATGTTCAAAGTGGCGGTGGACGGCACCCACCTGCTGGAGTACGAGCACCGAGTGGGTGGTCTGGAGGAAGTGACTTTACTGCGAGTGGACGGAGACGTGGTCCTGTACAGCGCAGCCCCGAGCATGATCTGAGACGTCAGCCCAACATTATACTCGTGTGTTTGAAGGCCTTTCACATACTTTGTTGCACTTGATAAAAGTCAGAGGAGTGCAGTGAGTGGCAGGTGGCACATGAAGCCAGGTCTGCAGACCGTGACCTTTTTTACACAATGATTTCCTCCATGATCGTACTGAAACGGGTACGGTACATCTGAAACAGTTCAAGGAAAAGCTGAAGTATACAAAATGAAAGAAATGATAGGTGCAAAGTGTCCCAAACATTTCAGTTGATTTATTCTGTCCCTTTCTATAAACAATGAAAGCTTTTGTTATGCATGAAGACGTGCTGCAGACGATTCACTCGTCTCCTCTTCTGTWGGACACTTAGACTTCTCTGAACCCGTTTTCTGCAGGACAATGATTCTATACATTTATATATAAAGTTTGCTAGTAGCTCTAATAAATATTTAACATGTTGAAGTCAAAACCTAGCGTGCAAAATTCTGCAACCTAAATGTGTGAAATAGGATTGAAGGATTTTCCAGCTTGTTGCCAAAGAAGAGCTGCAGGATTTCATTTGAATCGAAAGGCAACAAAAACTGACTGAATAAAAAGTTGTTTGTGCTGCGTGCCTGTATCTATGACTGATTTCTGTTTTCATCAGTGTTTAGACGTCTGCATGCTGCTTGTTCCTCCACTGTCAGAGCAGAGACAACAGCTACAGTTAGCTGCTCAGCTCTAAAGAAAATTTAATCTATTTTTAGGATCACAGGGTTCCTACACATTTTTATTAAATTACAATTTCCATTATTACTCAGATGTTGTTTTGTTTTCTGTCTAATTCTGCCTCCAAAGGATGAAGGGTAGTAATCTGGATACTTTTATTAACCAATGTTAACTTTGTGTTTTTCACATTTTACAAATCTGGAAAACTCTAAAATCTACTTCCTTCTTTTAAAAACTGTAAACAGTGGGGAAAAGAGCTTGGTATGAAAAATATATAATCAAATGTGCAACTTTTCTAAATGCTGTCATTACATTTACAACTGCTGATTTTACAAAATATAGGTTTAATTTTGGTGAGAATTGATTTTAATAAATATTTTAACAAATATTTTGCTGAGGCACAG